CATTACCCAATATGTTGGGGTACAATTATTCATAGTAATCTATTATGAATATAATTACAAGGACATCCTAAAAGAGGCAAAACTACTTGGATGAAAGTAGTGTACTTGTTGACAGGGCAGTGGGTTGGAGAAGTTTTCAGGGAAGCTCAGACTGATTGTGTTCAGGTAACTGTGGTAGTGTACATGACCATAACTTTAGACAAAATTCTTAAAATTTTATGCACTAAAAAGTGAGAGCATATGTAAGTCATTCATTAATTATAAACTAAGAAAAGAAAAAGTAAAATACAAACATTTTACTTCATAAAAATCACCATCTTGATCCCCACGGAGAGTATAATTACTTCTTCCCTAGATAGGTCAGGAGGTGTAGATAGTCTCACAGGAAAAATCTCCAGAGGTCTTGAAGCCTTGGCAATTCTCTCCAGATCTCTACATATTATCCTCTGCCATCTCAATGTAACTAAAAATGATGTCATTTGCGAGGAAACACACTGAATGCCATCATTAATTGGCCTGGATGATAATCACTGTTTATACATAGAGGTCACCTTCTAGTCTGAGGGTTTCCTATGAGCTTTCAACCATACCAAGATAAAAAACCTCAAAGACTCAAAGATAAAAATCACATTGATTGACTTTTAAATGATAACCTATTTGTAAGATGTTTTGCAGACCTCCATTATTTGTTAACTACAGACACAATTCTAAGTGAATTGTAGGAGAGTTAAGGAAGTAAATGACTCTCTCAAGGAAACAGAAAGAACTAACTGTAGACTTGGAACTCAATCCTTGTTAGTGCTGTTATTCTACTTTTCCTTGCCTTACAGAACTTGGAAACTTTTTTCTGGTGCGTGAGAGGAAGCACTGATAAAAGCATTTATGCAACATTCCATGGCCGATTTTGTGATTTCAGGTTCTCTATTTCAAATTGACTTTTCTTTTTCTTCCAGGAAACGGGTAAGCTTCTATATTCCATAAACCTTTTGGTGAGAACTGTAATTCATACAAAAGCACTTGGCAGCTGTACTTACCATGAATAATTACAAAAGAGAAATGGATGGTTTGAACATTTTTCAAAAAATCTGAGGTTAGTCTGGGGTATAAATGTGAAAGCTCCCGTTACAAGGGGTTTAGAATTCTCATTACACATCATGCTGTTTTTCAAAAATGTAAACAAAAAGTAAGATACTGTGGTTTGGTTGATTTGGTGGTAGTTTCATCTTGTTCACTACACATTTGGTTCTCACTGGAAGTAAATAAACAACCCAAACAAAACAAACAGAAAAATGCAGAAGAGTAAAATCATTCTTTAAATGACAAAAATTCTCAAGTGAATTAAAAACCTCCAAACTGCATTTTAACCTTTTCCAAATAATCTCATGTTTACCACCACTAGCATATCTCTACATGCTGATTCTGATATAGATAAACATAGTCTTTCTTTTTTATTATTATTGTTGTGCCGGGTGGGGGTACAGAGGAGTATTTGCAAAAGTTCTTACAATCTAGCAAACATATATTTGAATTCACCAGCTCTGCTGTTTTCTTTCATCCCCCGCCTCTCCTGATTCCTGGAACAGTTTCAACAATATCATTTTTGCACTTACTTACATGTGTACATAGTATTTGCACCCCACCCCTGGTACCACCACTCCCTTCCTCTGGGCAGAACCTGTTTTGTCCTCTTGCTCTCCAATTTTATAGAAGAAAAAGAAATAAAAGATAATAAGAAAAACATGGCATTTTTGCTAGTTAGAAACAAAGTTGGCTATATGGTGAGATTCCTTGTGTTGTTTCCATGCATATATGTATTGCAACCTAAATTGGTTCATCTCTATCAGGTCTCTTCACTACTCCCTAGTGCCCTTCTCATAGTGGCCTTGGCCAGTTTAAGATTACTATATTCACTCATTACCACATTCAAGTTTTTGGTTCCCTTCCCTTGCTCTATCCCTCCCATGTGTGGTCTCCCCTTAATATGACCCATGTCCAATAATATTTCTGCATTATTTTAGGCCTATAACCCACATATAAGGGAGAACATGTGATTTTTGGCTTTTTGAGCCTGCCTGACTTCGCTTAAGATATGTTCTCCAGTTCCATCCATTTACCTGAGAATGTCAAAATTTCATTCTTCTTTGTGGCTGAGTAAAACTCCATTGTGCATAAGTACCACATTTTCTTAATCCACTTACTGGTAGTGGGGCATCTTGGCTGTTTGCATAGCTTGGCTATTGTGAATAGTGCTGCAATAATCATGGGTGTGCAGGTACCTTTGTAGTAATCTGAGTCATATGCCTTCAGATATATCCCTAGAAGTGATATTTCTGGATCATAAGGCAGATCTATGTTTAGTTTTTTAAGGAACTTCCATATTGTTTTCCATAATGGTTGTACTAGCTTACATTCCCACCAGCAGTTCCTTTTTTCCTTGCATCCCCACCAACATTTTTTTGTTGTTCTTAATGGTAGCTACACTAACAGGAGTGAAGTGGAATCTTAGTGTGGTTTTGATTTACATTTCCTTTATGACCAGGGATGGTGAGCATTTTTTCATGTGCTTTTTAGCAATTTGTATTTCTTACCTTGAAAAAGTTCTGTTTAGTTCAGTTGCCCATTTCTTTATTGGGTCATTCATTGGGAGTTTAGTTTTTTGAGTTCCCTGTATATTCTGATAATCAGTCCCTTGTCTGATGTATAACTAGCAAAGGTTTTCTCCCATTCTGTGGGTGGTCTATTCAACTTAGAGACCATGTCTTTTGTTGTACAGAAGCTTTTCAGTTTTATGAAGTCCCATTTGTCCATTCTTTCTCTTGGCTGCTGAGCTGCTTCAGTTCTACTGAGGAAGTCCTTGCCTATGCCTATTGCTTCCAGAGTATTCCATGCTCTTTCCTGTACTAGTTTCAAGATTTCAGGGCTGATATTAAGGTCTTTAGTCCACTTTGAGTTGATACTAGTACAGGGTGACAGGCATGGATTTTGTTTCAGTTTCTGCAGGCAGATAGCCCCTCTTCCCGGCAACATTTGTTGAAGAGGCTGCCTTTTCTCCATTGTATGTTTTTGGCAGTTATGTCAAAAATTAAGTTCAGGGCAGCTGTAACTGTTGAACCTTGGGCTTTTCTTCTCCTAGCTTTATGCTTTTACAGAATAGAACAAACTTCTCAAATCCTCAACTTCCTAATGATAAAGCAAAGAATATCAATGTCACCTGCTTTATATACACATGCACACACACATTTATATAGAGAGTCCTTATCACTGGTTTTAGAACAGAGTATATGTTAAAAGTTTCCATGTGTTTGTTAAAGCTGGAAAATAATGTGATCAGGGGCAAGCTTGAAAAGTAAAGTTGACAGAGGTTTTGGAAAGCAATGGTAAAGAATAGTAGCTAGTTTTATATGAATATTCTTCCAAAGCCTTCAATTCTAATAAAGAAATTTAATACACAATTTCTTCATACGAGTGGGCCCAAGTGAAATATTACTTGACATTGAGCTTGCCACCAAATCTGATAACTGAGTTGAAGATAATCCCAGAGTGGTTTACTTTCAACCCCTGATCTCTGAGATTTGTCTATGACATGACAATAATGAGAGAAAGAAAGAGAATATTAAAAATGAATTTTTGAAACCAAACTACAATATGGATTTCAAGGAAGAGAATTTAAAAAAGAATGGCTCAGGTAGAATTGTTGGTACTGCAATTATACACTTTGAGTAAGGCCATACTGAGAAACATTGGATAGTACAGATAATCTGAGTGACCCTCAAGTGAGACAAAGATAGTTTGGAGAGAGAGACTACAAATCTCACCCACAAGTGAAGCCCATCATGTCAGCATCCACTTTAATGAAACAAATCAATATGTAGACCATTATCCCATTCTAATAACAACACAATAGCTAGCTCTCATCAAGGTATACTTACCACCCAGAATTTTATTTTTTATAAGATATCTAATTCTCATGATGATACTTCACTTTGCAAGTGGAAATATGATGCTCAGGGGAATTAGATTAGGATCAATGACTTCTAAGTGGTAAATATTAGGTTAAGATATTTCTCTTCTACCACATCTACTATGTATTGAAATGTACCACAGTGATTCAAGAGTTAAGCTAATCTGCAGTCAAGTCAAAAGTTTAACCACATCATTGTCAATGTGTGTAAATGTGATGGTGAAAATAAGGAGTAGTAAAATGTAGCTCAAAGCTTCTTAATTGATTCAGTAAACTTTTGAAATGAAAAAGGATAATTTCATTTTGTAGATGTTTGTTTCTTGAACCTCTAATGAGGATCACATATATAGTGAACAAGATGAAGAAACTACCTAATCAATCACTCTGTTCACTATGAAGCCCCAGATACTGAAGTTGAAGCAAAGCAGAAAATTATTGAGTAAATTATCTGTAATTCAGTTTGATGTGAATTTAGTTGATGCCATTAGAGTTAGGAAACACCCAGTGTGGGTTAAAGGATGGCATGGGACTGGAATATAGATTGCCAGATCATACTTGTATGAATATGAATAATTAATTGAACCCATGTGCTTCATAATTTACATGATTTTAACAGCAATAAAACTCAGAATAACTGACAGGACACAGTGAATATACATTTAACGTCTTTATGACAGTTCTTGGACTAGTGAACAACATGGAAGTGTTTACTTTTACTGAGCACAGAAGAAGTGAATTGACACAAAGGTATACCTAGACAACCATCTTGATCAAATTATTATATTGCCAACATCTAAGTCCATAAACTTGTAAAAATTTTAAATTTGAGTGGAAGATTAAGATTCCACAGATTCAATAGAATGTAATCATGTATTCAATTAATTTACAAAGTTCAATAGTCAAACCCATGCCTTTCAGAAAATTCTTGAAACATAAGATGTTGCTAAGAAAGAGAACATATATTGTTCTTGTAGTTTACTTCATTCCTGTTATTCTGTCTCATTTGACTCATTGCTACAGAGAATCTAGAGATTGTCAGATGGCATTGATGGATAACATGACAGAGGTAACACAGTTCATCCTGTTGGGACTCACCAATGACCCAGATCTGCAAGTCCCTCTCTTTATCACCTTCTTTCTCATCTATGTTATCACTCTGGTTGGGAATCTGGGATTGATCTTACTGATTCTCTTGGACTCTCATCTCCACAGTCCCATGTACTTCTTCCTTGGTAACCTGTCCCTGGTGGATTTTTGTTACTCTTCTTCTGTCACTCCCACAGTCATGAGTGGGTTTCTTATAAGGAATGAGGTCACTTTCTACAATGTTTGCACTGTTCAGATGTTCTTTGTTACAGGCTTTGCTACTGTGGAAAATTATCTATTGGCCTCAATGGCCTATGACCGCCATGCAGCAGTGTGTAAGCCCCTACAGTATAACACAACCATGACAACAAATATGTGTGCATTTCTAATCATAGGATGCTATGTCTGTGGTTTCCTGAATGCCTCTATCTATACTGGGAACACATTCAGTCTCTCCTTCTGTAAGTCCAATGTGATCCATCACTTTTTCTGTGATATTCCAGCAGTCATGTTTCTATCTTGCTCTGACATATATGTTAATGAGCTGATTCTTGTTTGTGTAGCCAGTTTTAATGTCCTTTTTGCTCTCATAGTAATCTTAATATCCTACACATTGATTTTTATCACAATCCTGAAGATTCATTCAAGTGCAGGATATCACAAGGCTATATCCACTTGTGCCTCCCACTTCACTGCAGCCTCCATTTTCTATGGAACAGTCATTTTCATGTACTTACAGCCCAGCTCCAGTCATTCCATGGATACAGACAAAATTGCCTCTGTGTTTTATACAATGGTCATTCCCATGTTGAATCCCATGGTCTACAGCCTAAGGAACAAGGAAGTCAAGAGAGCATTCACCAAGATTGTTTTCCAGGCAAAGTAAACATTATGGTTTTGCTACTGTTTTGGATGCACAATGCTGGAATTCATTCCTGTCAGATCTTCTCAGTGCACTGAATTACATTTTAAATCTGCACCTTAATCAAGTTTCTAAAGTTATACCATTACTCCTACAAAGTCTGTTACCTAAAAAAAAAACACATTCAATATCATAATTCCTAAATGATGCCTATGATATCTAAGGTCATTTTGTTCAAATGCTTATTAAAAGTATTGATTCACTCAGTCTTTTTCCATGAAATTACTTCTTCCACATGCCAGGGCTAACATATGCAAAACTAGTGTGTAAGAATCCTATAAGCAAAAGAGTATTCAGGAGTCCCATGATGACTCATTCACAAGGATGTGACAAATTTGCAATAATTAAATGTAATGTGGCTTTCTCTGGTGGTTAATTCCATAGATTAATTGGACTGGATTAAGGGATGCCTTATGGACTATAAAACTTTTTCTGGTTGGGTATGATGGTACACATTTGTAATCCTAGCACTAGGAGGATCATAAGTTCAAGTGTAGCATAGACTACATGAGATCTTTTCAAATCAAAAAAAGAAACAAAACAAGACAAAACAAATAATCAGAAAATCACTGTTTCCATGAAAGTCTGTGATAATGTTTCTGAAAGGGTGTACTAGTTTAAGCAGTAGACTTAATAAAGAGGATCTGCCCTCATCAGTGTGTGTATCCATCATCCAATCTTTTGAGGGCTCACTTGAATAGAACAAAAAGATGTGGAAATATCAAACACTGAATATTGGATTCTCTCTCTCTATCTCATTTTGCTCTCCTACTTGCACTCTTTCACATCAGAGCTACTTGCTGTCAGAAACTTGGTCTCCAAGACACTCACTAGTTACACCTCACACTTTTTCTCTCACTTTCATTTCTCAGGTCTTTGAGTTCAGAATGAATTACATCACCAGATAATCTTCTATGTGACCCTGCAGCTATTTCCAGGCAGACCAGAGCAGGAGCACTTCCCCTGTAACCTAACAGAACACATGCATTAGGCTCAATTAATGGCCTTTCTTGAGTAGTCTTTTCTTGCCTCCTTTGGTGTTCATCATTACAGGAGTGGGCTGAGATAGTAACATAAAGGGAACAGAAACAAAGGGATGGCAGGAGTGGCAGATGAACCCTCAAGGCAAAGGCAGTGTAGAAGACAGTGACAAAGGCATCATCATTTTCCACTGTGGTGGTGATGCAGAAGCAGCATCCATGTGCATGATGGCAGCAGTGATATCCGTGCCAGTGGCAGAGAAAATTCAATGGTCATACCATCAAAAATGCCAGAAGGGGCAGTGGCAGCAAAGGGCAGCTAGAAAAATCCGGGGAGCTTCTATACATCAAAGGCTGAGGATTTCAGAAATTTAGGACTGACAGCCGTGACACTAACTGTGGCTGTCAACTGCTGAGATCGCCACCATAACAGACCTGAGACCTGTAATAATAGCCACTGCTGCCAGTGTTTGAGAATCCTGATATCCTTGACCCAAGAGCTATAACACGTGCCACTGTAAATCTCAGCATCCAAGGACTGCATGGATGCTGTAATACTATAAGCCATCACGTATTGCTTCTTGCTGCCTTCTACTTCTACTGCTCACTGATGCCAGAAACCAAGGTTTGCTAAAAATTGCCAGAGACCCAGGATTAGAAATACTGGAAGAGCTTCTCCTCACTTACCCATGATTCCTATCTAGGTAGAGCAAAAATACCCAAGCCAGTGAATTGGTAACAAAAGGACACCAGAAATCCACTCAGTACCATAGGACTAATGAAGAACCCCAAAAGAAACTTGCTTTCATTTGGCAAGGTGCTATAGCAATACACTTTCACTATCCTTTCTCAATTAATGAATCAACTCCTCAGGCCTATGTAGTACTTTAGAGACAATTACCACCATCCATTCCATAAGATAATATCTGGCCTTGATAACATTCTGTTGATTAGACCTACTGAACAAGAATTTCACATTCTCTATCATTTGCAGAATACATTTAATGTTAGGGAATGGGAAATGAATTGATGTTCAGAGTCCCTCTACCTCAACAAACTTTCTTGAGATGTATAACAGTGGAACATGTTGAGATATGGATGTTCCTTAAAAAATTAAAAATAGAACTACCATGTGATCCTTGATTCCCAAAACTGAATATAAATTCAAAGGAAATTTACTGTGCAAAGGAGAAATCAGCATACATGTTCATTATAGTATTAATAACAATAGGTAAGAGATTTAAAAGACCTAGACGTCCATCAACTGATGAATGGATAAAGAAAAGTGCTACCATGCAAGTGCTACAACATGTCATCTTGTTCATCCATAAATAATAATTAAATCCTGTCATTTGTGGCAACATGAATTGGACATGGAAATCATTACATTAAGTGAAATATGCAAGCTAGAAAGACACCTACTGAATGATCTCACATTTATGTGGACTCTTAAAAAATTGATTTCATAGTTGAGAGTACAATGGTGGTAACAAACTCTTCAGAGAGCAAGGAGAGGGTGATCAATGGATATTAAATTATAATTAAATAGGAGCCAGAAGCTTTGGTGTGCTATTGCACAGTAGGTTGACCATAGATAACAATGCTTTGCTATTCTTTTGAAAGAATTAGGAGAAAGGATTTTAAAGAAGTGACATGTTTTGGGAGATAGACATGCTCAGAAACATTTCATGATTCCCAATTAATATGTATATTTTTTAAAGTTTTCATTTATCATTTAAAATATGTTTGTTTCTTAAATTTATTAAGCTCCTTGATCCCTACAGGCAGGTTAGTTTCTTCTTCCTTAGGAAAGTAGGATAAAGAGCCTCAGATATTCTCATGGGGTAAATCTGCAGAGCTCTCATGTCTCTATAACTCTCTCCAGAGCTCTATGTATTACCTCTAAAATCGTAACAACACTCAAAATGAAGCCATTTTAAAAGGCACACACCACATGCTATGCACCATTGTACAAATTTGTTATCTGAATAATAATCACGGTTACTACACACAAGGCCTTCTTCTGACCTGAGGATTGCTATGAGCCTTCAGCAATGGCTAGAGAAAATATTCAAAAGTAAAAAATACATTGTTCATTGACTTTTAATTATCATGAGATACTTTTTAGATTTGTTATATTTGGAATTTATAGACACAATCTGTGAATTTTATTTCGTGTTTCTCTTACTTATAACAAGGCGGTAAGTGATTGTTTCAAGGATTGAGAAAAAACCATCATGGTAAATTCAGAAATTGGTCTAGTTTAATGTTCTTCTTTCCTTTCTTGCCTTAGAGAAGTTGAAAACTTTTGACCACTATGTGAAAGGGGGATCCTCTAGTACAAATTATGTAATATTCTATTGCTGATTTGATGATGTTAGATTGACCATTCAGAATTGAATATTCCTTCTTGACTAGAAAAATGTAAGATTCTGTATTTCATAGACAAGTTATTGAGAAGTATAATTCACGAAAAAGAAGAAGGCTAAATATACCCACTTTGGTTTGTTTGAAAATAGAAAGAGATATTTTAAGAATATTTCTAATGTGAGGTGACTTGGTGGTATAAATGTCAAAATGGCTATCAGAAGGACTTTATCAATTCATATGATAAATCATGCTTCTTTCAAAAAATATTTAAAAATATGATGGATTATGTTTGATTGAATAGGCACTTTGTATTGTTCAGTATATAGTTAATTAAATTTTTGGTTAAAAAACAAACATATAAACAAAAAAGGAGTAGTGAAATGATTCTTCTTCAAAGTGAAAATTATTCCAAAACAATTTAGCATGCTCTAAACGGCATCTCAACACTTCTGCCATTATGTAATTCTTATTCTTGGATGGGAGCTTTAAGTCTTGAATCTTGTTCATACTACCTTTCAATACTGCAAATTTAGGACGTCATATAACTTCTCAAATCCTCAGGTTGCTTACTGTTAAAGTAATAATAATAATCTATAATAACACTATCTATCTTACACACACACACACACACACACACACACACACCATTTTTATTTAAATCCCCTATCATTGGTTGGGGAATATCATATATGTTGAAAGTGATCATGCAAGTTAAGATTGGCAATCATAATGTCTTCAAGGAGCAGACTTATGAATCACAGTTGCCAAAAGGCTTAGGAGAATGAATGGTAGGGCATCCTCGTAAGGATAGCATGACTACTGTTCCAAAAATTTCAAGTCAAAACGAAAATTATAAGTATTGTTACTGTATCAAAACAGGTTCAAATAAAATATTTTTATAATTTATAATTTGTAACCATAACAATCTAAAGACATAAACTAGGACATTTGTATGCTTGGTCTCTGTAATTTGGTTATGTCATGACAGTAACAAGAAAAAAATGAGATTTAAAAACAAGGAATGAGAGAGGAAATTTTGCAACCAATGTCCCGTATGAAATTTCAGGGGCAGCAATAATATACATGGAGGAAGATCAAGTTGAGAAAAATGAGTAAGTTCAGACAATTTCAATGGTCTTAGTGTGGGAGAAAAGGCAATTTGTGGACAGTAATTTCAAGACTTTAAACTTACCCACAATTGAACCCCTTGCACATCTGCATCTACTTTAAAGACCATTCCTCATCCTAATTTTAACATGATATCAGCAATCATCAGTCTGTGTTTACCACCCAAAATTTTGAGTTTTTAAAATATATATTATCTTATTTCTCACAATGAACTACAAAATATATCTCATAACTGCCTCATTTTGCTGCTGGAAATGTGACATTTTGGGGAGTAGATTATGACCAGTGACTAGTGGTTAAGTTAGGTGTTAAATGGTAGCACTGATATGAAACCAAATATGTCTGTCTGCTCTATCTGATGATATGGCTTCACTTAAAATTGTATCTGCAGGTTCCTCATATTCCCAGCACACCTCTAGCCCACCACATTTACTATACATAGAGTTGTACTGCATTGATTCAAGAGGTAAACGTTTCTTCAACCTA